CCCCCAGAGCCCCTACCCCTGTAGCTGACAGTCTCGGCCTTGGCCAGCGGCGGGTCCATCTTGGAGCCGGCTGGCATTGGCTCCATTGGACATAGGGGAAGCTTCCAGCAGCTTCTCACAGAAGCCACCTCTGTAACCCCCCTGCTACCAAAACCTTGTCACGCAAACCCAATACATCAATTCAGAAAACTAGTTTGTTGTTTTCAGAGTAATTTCAGTATTAATTAGATTTTTACTAGTAAGGGACATGAGTTGAATCTTAGCTGTTCTAACCAGTATTGGCTAATAGGGAGATGTGAAAATGAAAGGAATACTTACACTGAGCTTGTGAACAGTGTTGTTACTTAGTCTGATGGCGCAAGATCTTTTACATTTCCCACAGCACTTTCCATCCTCGGTCACGTATTGATGACCCTACTCACAAGGAGATGAAAGTATGTTGCATTGGTGATGGAGAATTCTAGTCTTCCTGTAATTGAGGGCTGACTGGGCAGCCTAGAGAATCTGAACTCACCGGTGGACAAGATTTTTCACATTGAACTCTTTCACAATGCCATATATTTTGCCAAGATGCTTTATCTATCTCAGATGTGCAGGTACAGTTCATACATGAATCGGTTACTGTTGATGCTCCAACCTGGAAGACAGAAAAAAAAAATCAGTTGGCAACAGTTTCTATATAATGTATAGGCAGAGTTGAAAGCATTGCTAAGAACCATTAAGGTTGCTGAAATGCAAGTGTGACTGAGTTGTTCAACTCTCTTCGAACATACAGTTGTTTGGCTTTATGCCTTGCAACAAAATACACATTAGGAGAAAACTAAATAAAGCAATATAAAAGACAAAAGTAAATTAATAAAATGCAGGTAAACCCGGTTTGTAGTGCCTCATTATTTTACCAGCTTTTCAGTGTTCCATTTAAGATTTTTTTCCCTGTAAGCCATGCTCAGTGGTTATAAAACAATTATAATTTACAAATAGAGATTAAAATAATTGGATACATATGCAGATATATAAGCAGAGATACAAATTTACACACGGATTTCAGTCTTTCTGAAATGTATCCCCAAAAGGCTCCAGTGCTAATGTTTAAATTTTGACTAAATGACCTAAGTATCAATTTTAGCAAAAGATTTAGGTATCAATTAAAGCAAAAATCCTAGCTATCCTTTTTGAAGGTTCTCTGGGCTTATTTCAGAGTGGTTAAGTTTGGGCTATTCATCAGCTCGTTTGGAAAATTCATTAATTCCAGAAGTGGGAGAGCGCTTAAAAAGAAAGTACATCACTAAAAATGGTACACTGTTATTTTATGCTACATGTTGAGGAACTCTTCTGTGACAATTTTGAGTTTGACTTTAGAAAAAAAACCAACTTCCAGTTAAGGGCTAGAGATAAAAAAATGTACTGGGAAAAAGAACTTTCTCAAAGGCTTATTGTGGTAGAAAATGTGTACATTTCAATTCCAGCAATATACCTCTATAAGTGTAACATTCTCACCTTGTATGTTGTACCATTAATCACACAGTAGTCAGGCCTTGGTCCTGAAACAAACAAACAAACAAAAAATTCCAGAGTAAACTCAAATTGTGAGACTTCATGAGAAGTCAAGATGTTACCAAGTTTTGTTAGTAACACAGAGATTATGGAAGACTTGAATTCAATCCCCCCTACATGCTTAGACCTCATATTTAGTATAGCTGAATGTTTAAGTAAAGTTTCTTTTTTGAAATTAGCTAGAAGAGTTGAGGAGGAATGGCTTCAAACTCAAGCTCTGCATGAAAAAAATCCCTTTTTTGCCCTTTCGATATCAGATTCACTTCAAATTAAACTTTGAAGCCTAGATGTCCAGTAACTTTCAAAGATGCCTTTGTTATTGATTCTTTATGACCTCTCAGAACATGGTGTGCATGGAAGATTGACTCTGAGTGAAAAAAAGGTATTCTTACTGTGGTAATATAAATAATTTGACAACATGGCGGAGTGCATTCATGTCTTCCACAGAACTACTTCAAATTGGCTGTTCCTTTGTTTTGACCTTCCTGTTTCAGGCTTTATTTATGGCTACCTTTTTCTTTTTATTCTTTTCTATAAATGTATGTATATAAAAATATATGTATATAAAAATTTATGTATGTATGTAAACATATATAACTGTTGGACTTCTAAATTTTCATGAGCATTCAACAACAGTGTAAGTATAATTATTATTTTTCATACATTGACAATTCAGTTACTGATTACAATTAACTTTGTATTATTACTTCACGTTACTTGCTTTTGTAGTTAACTGTTAAGCTTTCTGCTGGCTTATTCTTAATGTTTATGCACCTTAGTTTAGCTACAGTTAGGCTAAAGTTAATGTGCGCCAATGTTACATTAATAACATTAAATAAAATGTATTAATAACCTTTATGATTACAGATACAGAGATAGTTGAGCTACACAGACCACTTGAAGGTTTGAAGTATTATCCTACTCTCCCACCCATTCCAATACTCTCAGCAAACTTCATTGAAAATAACATTTTGTTTTTAAATAAACTTCTAATGCATATTTAGCCAAAAACTGATACATGTTCACTCAGCCAGAATAATTTAAGGAAGGTTTTGCTGTTATTGTGATACATGAAGAACTTGCTTAGATATTAACAGAAGTGCAAATGTAACTTACCAGTGTGTAGCCTGGTCTTTATGTATGTATTTTTAATACTTACGGCATTCATATTTAGGACAACATGGGTCTTCTAGTGGTAGTGCAGTCACAGCAGCAAATTCTGGGTCACAAATCGGTGTCTGAGCTGTTTGGCATGGGAGCGGCTGGCATTGTACTGTAGCATTGACGGAGTCACAGACACACTTACGACATTCACTTATCCAGTTCTCTCCAGGCTGAAAATATGTAAATTATTTATTCTTAAGTGCTCTCTCACCCTGGTAGTTTTGTTTCAACATGAGATAGACTCTCAAAATTGATAGGGAGTTCAGATTATAGTTTTCTTAGCATATGATTTCAGGCCTTAAGAGCAGGCAAGCTGAGAATAATCACAGAATTTTCTTCTGTGTAGGGAGAATGAGATTTTAACACTTTCATAGCTGGTCTACTTATTTCTATGACATTTAAATGTCTTTTATTAAAAAAAAGTTTCTGCCATGGTATTAGTGAGCTTTTCCATCGCCAGATTACTTAAAAGCCTGGTAATGCCAGGTTGAAGAATTGTGCGCCATCAGGTCATTTGTAACATGACCAACTTTGTTACTGAAGTACATACAAGTTGATTTGAACTGGCTATTAGAGGACAGAAATTGGGTTGGTTTTGCAATGGTGGTATATTAGAAAATAACGAGGGCAAACCACCTTTCGTGGAGGATTGACATCAGTACAGTTTCTTTCTACTGAAGTTGTGAGGGATGTTGCTGTGGTTGGTGAGACAGAAGAAAATACATGTTCTGTGGATGAGGTGGCTTGTGTTGTAGTTTCTGAGGTGCCTGAAGTGAAAGGAGTTGTCGAATAGCATGGCCCCTGGAATGGCTGAATTTCGCATTCCTTGCTGCAAAGTGCATAAAAATTACAGCCAGCCCTATCTGTTCTGTTGTATACCACTTCCCCTGCAGAGGAAAATCAGAAGAGAAATTAAAAGACCAATGAATATACTTAGGGTAAAAAAGCCAAGAAAATATTGTGAAAATATAAAGTGTATTCGTGTATCAAAAGTTCTATGTTTAGGTGATTTTCACTGGTTATATTTAATTGAATAGAGTATTAAGGGTTTATATTGCTATGAAAATTTTTATAACCATAAAATAAGACACTTACCAGGAGAAAAAAGGTTACCGAACACATGACAAAAACATGGAGTTGTTCTGCTTGATGTAACATATGTACTTGCTTCTGTTATGACAGGTGTGCTGGGGGAAGAACTGAAGGCTGCAGAAGTACTTGCTGTAACGTGACTTGATTGTGGCGTACCAGTTGTAGCTACTGTTAAGCACGAGACATACTTTAGTTAGCAGCACAGAATTTTGATCTCATAATTTTAACATATTGGAGAGGACTGTTCAACATTACAGCAAATCAAGCCAACATTTTTGTTAAATTCAACGATTTGACCTGTTGCTAAGTAGAGATTGTGGAAATCTTTGAGCTCTACACTGAATATCATCTGGGATTTGGCAAATATTATGACATGTAGTTCTAATGTTTTTTAAAGTTTCAAGGTCAATACTGTCTCCCTTGATAAGAAATATCAGTCTATGGGGTCCACTCATACACTTGTCTAACACAGATACTAGTAGCAGAGGGACAGACAGATGAAAAAGTGGTTTATGTGTTGGAAGAAATAGCCATGATAGTGGAAGAAGTCACAGAAGACAGTGAAACCAAGGATATTCTGCTGAAATAGCTGTTTGAAACCTTTCCAGAGGTAGACAGTGACATACCTGGGCTGCTTGTGGTAGTCAAACTTGTGGGAAAAACAATGGTGGCAGTACTTTGTGCAGTTAAGGAAACAGAAGTTAGAAGAATATCTGTACTGACTATGGTACTTCTAATTCCTAAGTGGGCTGGAGTGGAGGCAGTAGTAGGAGATAATGGAGCATGGGTTGCCACAGTAGAGCTTTCTGCAGGTGCAGATGTGGCTTTGGACGTTGTGGTGGTTGGTGTGGTGGTCCTGGAGGTGCTGGTAGTGCTACTGGCTGAGGTGGGTGCTGTTGGAGCGGGTGTGATGATGGTGGTTGTGCCTCCTGTTAGAGATGGAGAGGTCTTGGTGGTGCTGGCCCTGCTGGTGGTTGTGATGACGGTCGTGATTTGTATTGGCAGGGTAGTGTTACTGGGGACAACCGTGGTGGCAATAGTGTGTGATACTTGTTCCTGGATTTCCACAGTAGTGATTTCTGTTGTATTTGGCGTGGTCTGGTAACCTATTGTTGAGACTTGTGATGTGCTTTCTGTACCTGAGGTTTCCGTTAGATGAGTTGTGTTTTCTCTGTGTTCTCGTGACGTTTTAGGCAATTCAGTTGTTTGCGCTTCAGTTCCTTGTGTTTGTTTTGTCTTCGTATTTATTGTAAGTGATGTTGGTTTTACAGCAGTAGTTGTTGTGAATTCTTGTGTGGTTCTTAGTGTTGTAGTTTGTATTTCTGAGCATGGTTTGTAGCTGCAGCATGATATTCTGATTTCATAATTATAGCAGGAGTTATTTTGTTGGTCTTTGTTATTGCATATCAGTCCTCTGCTTTTATTACATTGTACTGTTTGGTTAAGATTGTATATTTCTGTATCTGGGTGGTTTTTGGCTCTGCATTGAACAGCGTTTGGGTTTTCACACACAGTATAGCCTTTAGCTGTGAGATTTTCAAATGTTTCATAATCTCCACTGTCGTCTTTGTCTTCAGGCTGTGTGCTGTCATACCATTCTGACCATGCACATACTTTCTTCACACATACGGTTGTCACTGGTGTTGCAGTTGTCGTTTCTGTAATTAATAGGGGGAAATATAGGTCTTGTGTATTCTTATTAAAGAAAGTGCCAGGAAAAAATTATTCATCTTCCATACATTTTAATGCTGTATGTAGTATTATATATGTTAATGTAGTGTTTTCATTTTAATGAACTTGCTTTGACAGTCTTGAATTTAATTTCCAAGGTAGGTTTTGATCTCATGTTTGTATTATTTTTCTTGTGGTACTTTATGTGACATTTATTAAAAATTTGTAGTTAAATATAGCTGATATGATATCCTTTGTGTGGAATGTCAATACATAGGATAAAGTGATCTCACGATTTCTATGGTATAAGTAAGAGGAAGTTTTATTCTCCTTAGTATTATCTCTGTACTTAATTACACTTAACTGCATAAGCACATAGGCTTTAAAATATTTTTAAGGGATAATGACTTTTCTACTTATTTTAATATTATAACATTTAATATATTTATATGTATAAAATATAAAATGTATATTTAAGACATATGTGTTTTATATATAATCATAATAATATAGAATACACATATACACTATATATGAAATATATAATTTTATAAGTATTTTCAAATTCTTTTAATAAGATTTCTTTTCATATTCTTAGCATTATGAAGATAACCATGTGGAATATATACCACTTTCTTCATATGAATGTTGCTTAAAAAAAACTTAAAGTTGAATATTTATTTCTTGCTGTAGTATTGTATAATTTTGCGGAAATACTTCTCACAATTTCTCAGAATTACATGGTCACTATAACGAGTTAACCACAGAAATAATGTAGAAGTGTACTGCAGGAGTAGAAGGAATCTGTTGATTTGGTTATTAAATACAATTAAGAAAGGTTCCAAAGAATGGGTTTAAATAATTTGAGCATTCCCTCAAACTAGATTTCTTATCTGCGGTTTGGGCTAATGTGGTCAGTAATTTAAAAAATGGCTGTAATTGTCTTTTGTGTTTTCAAAAGTTTGTCTACAACTGCTGGTTATTGTTTGCAATGAAATGAGGAGGAGATTCTCCAGAGTACAATGATTAATAAGCTCTGTTATTTTTTCCCCTGGAAAAATCATGGTTAAACAGTAGAGACTGAGTTTGTAAAAAATGGTGTACTCATTTCTACATCCTTGATTATGGTTGTCTCTAGCAACCAAAGCTGCCACATGAATTGGTGGCTCCAGCAGAAGGCAACAGTTTCAAGTAAAATTATATGCCATTAACTGGTGAAAAGGCCCTCCCTTTCAGGCAATTTTCAGTCACTTCCATAGATTTTTCAGTTATTTTAAAGAGTATTAATGTGTACCTGAAGCAGTAGTTATAGGCTGACTTGTAGAAAACGTAAACGGGGTTGTTGTCATGATGCCACATTTAAAGATATTTCTGTTTATTGTTCCATTGACATCACATGTTGCACTGAAACACCATCCAGTTGCATCTGTGGTGCTGTAGATGAGTTCACCATATTTATAGCTGTTCTTTTCATATATGCAGTGGCATGCTGTAATTCAGAAGAAGTTTACTGTCAGGCAGCTATGAAAAGATAATATCCAGTATTTCATTTTCTTAATAATTCTTCTTAGCTCTCTTACCTTTATCATCAAACTTGCACTGTAAACCTTCTGATGTGCATTCACTGAAATAAAAAACATAAAAACCCACATATTTTTTGATTATGAGGTAATTTTATTAGTCATCTTTCTGCCAGATACTAACATCAAAAGACAGGACACTTTATTTGTGTTTATTCCTTGAGTGTCCAGTTCATGTTGGCTTTGTTTTGCCATTGTTTTCCAAAATCTTTCCTTCTATTAAACCCAAACTTATAAATAGAAGTGAAGCTAAATATTATGCAAAGCTACAGGTAGAAGTCTTAAGGAAGGCTTGCCTTCTTTCTTCCTTATCACTTTCTTTGCACTTGCAATGTTTTTGTACTAAAAAGCAGGCTAAAAAGGGAAAGAGTCTGAATACTACAAGCAGTATAAGAATGTAATAAAAATCCTTGCAAGTAGACCCCTATTAGATATGTGTACTCCTGGAACAATATTTTTCCTGCCATAGGAATGGGAAATAGAGAAAGCCTGGTCATAAAGGACTTGCTGTTCTTGTATCTTTATGCTGAGGATTTACAAAGTAATCAGGAGCAAATTCAACAGAACATAAAATCACATAAGAACTTCTTACTACTAATGTAATAAGAAACTGGCATTAGATAGTAAGGCCTTATTTTTACAGATGCAGCATAAACTAGTCCTGTCATGTAACAGGAACATGCAATTTCTCACTGCTGTTTTGATCACTTGTCCTTGTACAAGATGAGGCTGGTATGTTAAGTCTTACCACACATGACATTCATCCCGTCTATATATCTTTCCATCTTCATTATCATAACAGTCACAGAGACTAACGCACTTCATCTGATCCTCATGAAAATATGGCTTGTCTGGTGGGCAGTTAGGGTAGCAGCCTGAAGGAAGGGAAAGGGCATATAGAAGGGCATAGAAAAGGTGAGAATGAGATACAGTCAGAAAAAGTTTTATTTGTGCAGAATGTGTTTGCAGGTCTTGTTTTTAACAGTCATAATTTTTACTACTGAATTCTTTCCAATAATTCTACAAGAAATGCAGAGTACTAGCATCAGCAGAGCCCACCCACAAGGATTTTGTCCTAGAGATATTTTTAACTCTGATTTCCATCCTCTGCCTCCATTCATGTGGATGCAATGATGTTGAAGAGATTGAATGGTGCAAATGCAGCTGATGGGGGAAATACACTCCATTAAAGACCATTAAAAATATAATAAAATGTACCCACTTAAAGGTACTAGCAGCTCTCTTTTACCTTCTAAACCTGGCAAGTTATGGATGCATTTTCCACTTGGGTTCCTACAGGTCTTCATACAGGAGGCTCCGCAAGGCTTATAGTGCCATTCACATTCCCCTTGTTGATTGTAGTAATCACAGAACAGTGCTAAGGAGAAACAGAAATTTGGACATGTTCAGGAAAAAAAAGAGAGCTTTTTTTTGACTCATGTCTGTTCTTCATGTCCCTGCAATGCCGCTTGAACAGTCTCAAAAACTGTGAATAAATAGGTGAAATTGTGTGACCATCAAAACAGCTTAGTGTGAAAAGTCTACACAGTTAGATTATAATGCTCATAAGATACCCAGACTGTGTGTTCAAGGACATCAGAAAGGCACTGTACATTTAACTACACTCTCAGAAGTGTTTATGATATAAAACTCACGACAGATTGATGGGGTTCTCCAGGCTATGCAGACACCAACTTCACTACATGCTTGAGCATACGCAGCTACTGCTGTACAAAAGCAATCACAGTCTCCTCCAGTGTCACATGCACAAGCATCTATCACACATGCTTGGTAATATTTTGCTGGTTCAACCTGTTATTAAAAAGAAATGTAATACTATACATCCTGCCTTCTAAATTCTTTCTTAGCTTTGCGAGGGTGATTTTCTTAAAATTGTAGTATCTCAGAAAAAAGGCCTACATCAGTAATTTCTTTTCCTTTTGTTTATATACACTGTTAAACACCAGAAGTGATGCCAGATGATACATCCAAATCACGTATTGATGGATTTTTAGACACACAGACTTGGGTCCTAGTGGAAGATTAGGTTCATGTTCCCAAGCAATATTAGGCAACTGCACTTGAAAATGAAGGCCTCTGCCAGTGGAAAGAACTAAGGTGATAGGAAGAGCACAGAGTTACCCTGCATTTTTTGGTATGTACTTAGTGTCAGATAAAGGCTATGCTGATACTTCATTACTATGTTATTATTTCTTTGAGATTGTGTTCTGTATGTGGTATATGAGAATTTTTATTCAAGTAACAGTACAAGAAAATATGTAGTAATTATGAAACTACTGTTCTTTTGTAATAGGTTGATATTTCCTATGAACTAAATGTCCTGTTATTTCTTACAGGTAGGGACTATAAATCTGTCCCATTGAGTGGGGTTTGGATTGAAGTTTTCCTGACACTATTCAAAGTGAAACATGCTAATGAATTAGGCATGCATGTTAAAATGTATGAAGATAACAGCTTCAATAATACACAGATCTAATCTTCACACAGTAAACTTCTGCCCTGGTAATACCTGAGAGTGACAGGCAGCAAAGATGTTGCTGTTGATGATGCTACACTGTTTCTCTGACCAGGACTTTCGATAAGGGTTGGTAGAACATGGGTCCTTTATGCTGTGAGCATCAGGACATGTAGAGGATACTTTCCAGCTGTTTCCAAACTCTAGGACATTCTCTACCACAGACTGACTCCTTGTGGTAAAGTCATTGATGCCATTGCCATCATAATTTCCACAGAGGCCGCAGATCTGGCCCTGCAAAAGGAAGTAAATAAAATAACAATGGATGTGAGGAAACTTGAAACAACATCTGAGACTGAAAGAATACTTGAAATTCAGCTCTTAGAATGGTGCCATTCTATTCCAGCATTCCTGAACATCTTCATCTTTTGTTTCCTCAGCAACAGAACATGACCGCTAAGGGTAGAAGGATACTGCTGTTGACTTTTCTTCTTTTAAATCTGAACAATAAAGCCATGTTTGTCATTGTAACCTTCTGTCTTTGAGATAGGTCTTTAACAAGGAAATGAGGACTCAGCTGACTATGTTTTCCATTTAAGCCTTGTTTTGTACAATAGATGTACATATGAAAAACAGCCTTACAAAGCTGTCATAAATACTACCAGTCCAGCCACATAGTCTACTCATTGAGTCTTTACTGTTATGACTGCTCACAGGTATAAAAATAAATTACATTTTCCTCACACATCCAGAAATATCCCTTATTCTAAATTTATGGATCTGTAAAACAGTGATAGGCTACAATAGATGCTATCCATTCTGTATGAATATAAGGTGCATACTTTCCATATTACTACTATTTTTATAAAGTACCAGTGGGTGAGGCAGCAAAAGAACCTATGATACTGGAATAAATTTGTATATCTAGTTCTAAATTACACTTAATTTACATATCTAATTGAAATGTCACTATGGTATACAATAAGATAGCAAATTCCTCAGTTACTACAGTTTTTAGTACTTATATATCATAAGCTAGGAGAAGGAGTATGACAACAGGAATGTTTTCCTTATCACCTGTGTAGATATATGCTTGAAAAATACATGGTAGCATTTTACAAGAGGCTTTCACTCATAAAATTTCACTTCCTTTTTCTTAAGTATGATAATTTGATTTGTGTGTCAATGAGAACCGGAAACAATGGATTACTTTCAAGATCAAGACTACTTAATTGATTTCTACACATGTAGCTATGTAATTTTAATAAGGTCTAATAACCTTTACCAAGGTTCAGTGGGTAATTTTGACAAAGTCAAGTCCGAAAAAGTGGTTTGCCAACTCAAGTTCTGTCAGGCCAAATAGGCACTGAAACCTGCCTTCAGGGCTCAGAACAGCAGCAGGATGATGACATGGCTTCATGAGGCACCAGAGGAATGAAAACCAACATGGGATGTCCTTCAGGAATGCTAGACACATCACCTGTTTGGAATCTTGGCAGAGTCTCAACAAAATTCACACCCAGTCCAAATCTGGACCGTAAATTGCCATTTAACTCCTAGTTCCACACCTTAAAATCAGGGCTGAGCTTGATGAAGATGCTGGTTTTCTTGTCCCACATAAGGATCAGTCCGCTTGTGGTCTCAATTACCAAGTACATACCCATATAGCGGACTGTGTATGGCACCTCGTCATTTTGTCCTCTCTTTACGACACTGACATGCTCCTCACCAAGTATCAGTTCATAGCTCTGAAAAAGGAGGAAAAGGTGATTTGAAATGAAGTCAATAGCTGCAGTTGTGCTCTCAAACATGTTTCCTGCTTTTAAGAGTACTATGAATAGTTTATATAATGAAAACAAATAATCCAAATGTGATAAATCAAAACTATATAGTTCAAATCTCAGGTTCCTGGTACTGTGGTAAAAAGGTATTTTAAATGGTGTAGGTCAAAAAAACGGGTGTTTTGGCAGTCATGAAGGAGCTACATTGCACAGAATAAAATAATCTTCTGACATGACAGGCTAAATTTCTGCTAAAGACAATTTTTCTGTAGACCTGTAGTTTGCCCAACAGTGGTATAAGATAGGGTGGGAAATGGAAAAGATAGAGAGCTGGGAAGCTCTACCAAACTTTTCACTTGAATCTGATTTAAGCTTAATTTAGAAGTTGATTTGCTTTTTAAAATATTTTTCCAACTTCCTTGAAGGAATGGATATCTAGGCTTCTCCTAAGCCCTAAACAGACACAGAACAAAAGTGGTCTATATGCAAAAACTTCTTACCTCTAAGAAAACTTTGATAGATTTTGAGCAAGTTGTCCCAGTGTTGCCACAGGGAATATTTTCAGTGATAACCCTGAAGGTCCCATTGGCTGTGCCACTCTTCCCACAGTGGTCCTGGGTAGAGGATATCATTTAAAAATGTATTATTTTTGTAGACATGATGAAGATTATGCCTCATTTACTATTGCTAATTATCAGTACCTGGACTAGTGTGTATTCACAGTTTCCATTGAAGCTGAACCTTTTGTCATCAAAGGTATTATAGTGACCATCTCCATAAACAACACAAGTGCCCAGACATTGATCTTTGGTGCATTCCCACTTCCTATTCTTGCATACACTAGGAATAAGAATAAAACATTTTAATAATAAAACAACTCACTTTTTTGTGTAGACATACCCCAACAACTCAGTATGTGTTTGGCAACTCATCCCTGGTAAATGTTATACTGATTCTGGAGTTAAAGTAGTCTTTTACATTTTTCCTGTAAAGAATTAAAGCAAAGTTCTGTTCTGCTACTCTGAATGTGTTAACTGCAAAATAAGATAATACTTAATGAACACTGTAGTCCCAAAGGTTTCCTCCAATTCTGTCCTTTGACCATCTGCCTACATCAGAAAGAAACATGCTCATACTGTTTAATCCAAAACTAAAAGATCCATCAATTGATGAAATGTGCAATCCAAATCTTTCCTCACTGCTATAGTATTTAAGATCTTTGGAAAGGCAAATGATGGAACCAGGAATGCTACTTCTGAGGAAATATTTACCAGGTGTTACAGTCAACGTTGATCTTTTCCTCAGGCTGATACATGGCTTCATTGTGAATACATGGACATTCCTCTTCAGGAATACAACCACCATTCCCATCTAACACGAGCCCAGCTGGGCACATGCAGCCAGATACACATTGTGTGCTATACTGGAAAAGTCAAGAGAGAGATATAATTTCAGAATGAAATAATCACAATAAAAAAAGGAAGATTAAATTCTCTTAAAATGTCTTTATATGGTCTTATTGCTGCCCAGCTTAAATGGGAGAGGACTAAGAATTACTTATAGGACAATGGAACAAAAAGGAAGTTATTAGCTATTGATTTAACAGAATATAAATCTGTTAAAGATAAATGTTTTATGTATGCCAATCCTGTTTGCTCTGCTGGAGCCTGTGAAATTTGAAATACTTTGAATCTTAGGTCTTGTTCTGTGTTAGCTGAAGAAGCCTTGCACTTTGTAGTGGGTGATTTGTTATTGAATGGATCTTTAAAAAGAAAATAAGTAATATTTTTTTCCAGTTTGGTTGAGTTACATTGAAATCTGCTTATCTCATATGGTACTTATTCACAAAATGGCATGTGGCTACTATGCACCTAGGTGGAGTGATATAATTATATGTGCAAGAAGTTCACAACTGCATCATGGTATGAGAAAGAATGATTTCTCCTAGCCAGTTTATAGCCAGTAATTTTCTACTAAAGAAGTAAAATGTGTGGCAGAGCCCTAGATATCTTCACTACTCATTACTGTTACCTGAAGTAGCTGAATAAAGGTAGACACTAATCTTATTAATTAAATTGGATGTTACTTTATTATGTTTTGGTCTAAGGGTCCCATTGTTAATGCTTCATAACATAGTTTTAGACTTTTGCTACAAGAACAAAGTATCTGTGTTTTAGATTTGGAGTAGATCAGATAGATCAATTACTTTAGCACCAAGAGCACAGACAAAACCTGGAAATACCATTTCATCCAACCATGGCATACTTACACACTGCATATCCAGAGTCTGGCAACTTTTTTGACATTCTGCTCCAGTTGCTCCTGCAGTGATATTTCTACAGTCAAAGTAGACCATGGGAGATTCACAGACTAGAGGAAGGAAAGAAGCGAGAGCAGTAAGAAATGGCACAAGGTTTATCCCACAGCTGTAGCCATTAAAACCATTTAGAACTTCTTTGCAAATTATGTATTTAATTTAGTAGGAATTGCTGTCCCTATTCCATCTGCTAAATAGATTCACTTCAGAGCATTGAATTCTCAGAAAAAACCCTCACAGTATTTCAGAAAAAAATCTTTGTGAAAAAGAGGTCTTATCATTAATCTAGGTTCACTCCTGCCTTTTATGAAAACTGTTGCCCTATAACTACATGAGAAATACTTCCATTATTTAAAAATCCATTAAGAAAAATCAATTCTATCAACTATTTTTGTCCAAAACCTGGCATGGAGAAAAAGATAAGTGTAAGATTTTTTTTTTTTTACCTGGAGTTGGATTGGGTGCTCCAATGCAATTCAGTCTTCCCTGGATGCAAGTGCTGTAAGAGAGGGAAAAACATTTTTTTCTCCTTCTCTCAACCCATGTACTAAGACTGAGAGCTACTTCTCTCTTATCAAGTCTCAGAATTTTCAAAGGAATTCCAGAATGCTGTTTTGCAGTCTCAGGAAAGAATTTCCTTCAATACCACTACCATTGCTGCTTTCATATGAGATCCATTATTGCTTAAAAGAAAAAATCATAGGTTGAAATGAGTACATGTCTCCACTTGTTACTTACTTTCTCATAAGATCTCTCCTTGCTGGTGTTGTCATAATTTTATGCTTGAAAAAACATAGAATTAAATAGAAAAGGCAGCTAAATACAATTGCTCTATAAATCTGGAAATATCATAAAATCATGCAGATTGGAAAAGACCCTTAAGATCATTGAGTCCAACCATAAACCTAATGCTGCCAAGTCCACCAATAAACCATGTCCCTAAAGCGCCACATGTACACGTCTTTGAAATACCTCCAGGGATGGTGACTCAACCACTTCCCTGGGCAGTCTGTCCCAATGCTTGATAACCCTTTTGGTGAAGAAATTTTTCCTAATATCCAATCTAAACCTCCCCTGGTGCAACTTCAGGTCATTTCCTCTTGTCCTATCGCTTGTTACTTGGGAAAAGAGACTGACCCCCACCTCGCTGCAACCCCCCTTCAGGTAGTTGTAGAGAGCGATAAGGTCTCCCCTCAGCCTCCTTTTCTCCAGGCTAAACAACCCCAGTTCCCTCAGCTGCTCCTCATAAGACTTGTGCCCCTCACCAACTTGGTTGCCCTTCTCTGGACACGCTCCAGCACCTCAATGTCTTTCTTATAGTGAGGGGCCCAAAACTGAACACAGTACCCCAGGTGCGGCCTCACCAGTGCTGAGTACAAGGGGATGATCCCTCCCCTAGTCCTGCTGGCCACACTATTTCTGATACAGGCCAGGATGCCATTGGCCTTCTTGGCCACCTGGGCACACTGCTGGCTCATATTCAGCCGGCTGTCAACCAGCACCCCCAGGTCCTTTCCTGCCAGGCAGCTTTCCAGCCACTCTTGCCCAAACCTGTAGTGTTGCATGGGGTTGTTGTGACCCAAGTGCAGGACCGGCACTTGGCCTTGTTGAACCTCATACAGTTGGTTTCAGCCCATCGATCCAGCCTGTCCAGATCCCTCTGTCAAGCCTTCCTACCCTCCAGCAGATCAACCCTCCCACCCAGCTTGGTGTCATCTGCAAACTTACTGAGGGTGCGCCCGATGCCTTCCTCCAGATCATTGATAAAGATCTTAAACAGAACTGGCCCCAATACTGAGCCCTGGGGAACACCACTTGTGACCGGCCGCCAGCTGGATTTAACTCCATTCTCCACCCCTCTTTGGGCCTGCCCATCCAGCCGGTTTTTTACCCAGTGAAGAGTATGCCCGTCCAAGCCTT